TATACACATGTGTTGTATTATCAGTTCGTTGAAATCGCATACTCTTTTAACGGATTATAAAATAAAATCTAAATATAAGCATTATCTTCTTTAAAACTAGAATAAGAACGTGGATAAGCTTAATTATAGATGATTCAGTTTGTTTAAAACATTTCGTTTAATTCATCTATATTTGCTATATACTTTAATGAGTTCATTTATTATATGAAATGTTAGGCCGGATGCCTTGCCTTACATCGAAAAGAAAGAGGAAGAGAAACTACATAATATGCCTCGCCGTTGACGTCCGTCTCGGCGTGCACATCGATATTATTACAAAAGTGTGATTAAATTGGGTTCTCTGTGAAAATAGTACTAATACTACATATTAGAGAAGGTATAAATCTCTTAGGCTCTGTTACCGAAATCAAGACAATAAAAAATTGAAAAAATAAAAAAAAAATTATCGGTTGATTTTTAGAATTGGTACGGATTTAGGGAATCTCCTTGAACAGGTGCGTTCGATGTTTATTTGCTTAGACAGGGATAATACCATGAATGTTACTTTACAAAAACCAGCTATTACATGTATACCGTGTGAATATGTATCATGTATACAGTAATTTTGATGTTGTTTTTAATCAAACTAACATCAGGATGAATGTCATGAAAAAAAATCTGTATTCCTCATTTATGATATATTATATCAATATTATCAATGCAAATATATTTCTCGTCTTAAACTCTTACTTACATTTCATTTAAATCCATGCGTCATGTAATTTACACTTGTATGGTGGAATAATAGGAAATACTGTTATACGAAAACAATGATCAGCTTTATTGTAAACAAGTGCTTATCCGACGAAGCAGCGCCGCACAACAAAGCTGGGTTTACGTAATGTTACACCAGGCTATTTTAATGTATACCTTGCACGGAAAATGTCAATTTCATATAAGTAATATTGTAAGTTCCCCCATTACCTGATGTCTACGTATTGTTATGCACGGTAAATGTACGGGTTATATTGCTTGTCAATATCACGACACATTTATCTACATATTTTAACATTCCATTCGATCACCTCAGTGGTCACCTACGCTTCAAAAGTGTAGCCCCATGTATCACTGGCGAGTCTTAAATAGACGAAAATAGATTGATGCATATTAACTTTTATAAATTTTTATGTCTGATTTTGTACTAAAATGTACGATTCACTTGTGTGTTTTTGGTTTACTCTTGTATTAGAAATAACAAGATATATATGTAAATGTGTCTAATACCCAATAAAATGTCAAACGCGAATCATAGGTGACGCAGATACTGAGATACAGTATAGATTCTGAGTGATGTGCTAGTAATAGCAAAACAATATACAGTATCATGTAATGCTTAAGGAAAATCGATATATACAGCTTAACCCTTACATCACTACTGCATCCCTAATATATATATTGTAATACCGAATCAAAACAATATATAGTATTATATCATACTGCATTAGCACGGTAAAAGCAAAACAGGTTTATATACAGTGCATTACTGCAGTTAAACAATACAAACCTTGTTGTATTTTTACGGTATAGTTTATCTATATTGAACACCTATATTGAAATATATATTATATACACATTGCATAATTACAGTAAAATAACAGGTTTATATACAGCGTATCGCTAAAACAATATTGTTATATATTATTGTATAACTATATTGAATATAATGTATTACTTTTGAAAAAGAACAAAAATGAGAAATTTTGTAATGCAAAAGATTATTATCCTAGGTATAAATTCAACATTTCATTTTGCGCAATTCTTTTATGAAAAAAAAAGTAATTTCGAAAAAAAGTTATTTCTTACTGAATGCGCAATATTTCTTTTCATAGTAAGATTTTAAGAATCATGTTATGCACAGGTGCAATATGGATATGATATAATTTTTAAATTAACTAATACTTGAAGGCTCCTATATACCGACACTATTAGCATCACTGATGGATCTGTCGGCTGTACGTTACAACTGTATTCATACCTTGTATCATATCAAATTTTTGTATTGAAAGACCTTCCCCATTATGTAATCTCGTATCTAATTATTATTTTGTTGTGAAATGTACTTTTGACTGGTGTGTCTATTATTAGAACCTCACATCGTGTATCTAATCTAAAATTTGTAATGAAAGGTATCATCCACTTGTGTCTCCACATGAAATGACAATGATGATACATGTTACGAGAGCTGTAGCTCTCAAGAATCGTTCTGTTTAGATTGCTCTATTGAGGTCACGTTACTATATTTAGATTGTTTTTAAGTCAATGATGTATTTATCGTACCCCTATCAGGCGTTTCGGTTCACTTCATTTAACATGAACGCTAAACGACTTCATAGCCAATGATGAGTGCGTATCTTTGGGATGTTAAAGGAGAGGAACATACACATACAGTGTAAAATAACATTTAATATATTTTACCAAAATGTTTCTGATCTTTTAATCATAAGATAGATTATATATCATAACTGAGTTTATTGACTATATACGTGGAAGAATAGAGTGAGGAACATATTGACTCGTTAGTTTTAGAAGGGTTTGCTCGTTAGGTGTGTTTTGGTGTTAATTTCTTTTTCGTCTTGGTTGATGTTTTGAGACTATATCTTCCTGTAATACCCGGAGGCTTCCTCACTAGAGATACCACACGTCATCCAGAGCGACTTGGGTAGTGACTTGCTCAAGGACACAACAATGTCTCAATTTAGCACCTTAATTAACTGCAAAGCTTCTTACAACACATATACATTCGAGTAAATATTTAAACATCTTTCGGTGGTGCATTTGGTCTTGTAGCGAACGGTGAACAAAAAAAGTAACATTTTTTTTTAAAAACATCAACATGTCAACATAATCAAAATTCAAATTCAAATTCCATGAAACTATGAAAATAGTAATAAAAATATAATCAAACGAAATATTTATACGGAGACTCCCGAGAATAAGACCAAGTATTCCGAAAGGGTAAGCGTTTTCTTAATCGACGACACCCGCTATGTAACTTTTGGAAAATCCAAGGAAATAATGTCATGTTTTCAAATGAGAACAAGGTAGACAACAACGGAACCAACAGGTAAACTTATAAGCACCAAACACGTCCAGTTTCGTATGGCACAAAGAAATAGAATATATCTATAACGAGTGTAACACTTCCCCATACGTTTCATCCGGTATATTTTGAAACCGTTTGTTACAAATTTGCCCATCAATTAGCGACGCCTTGCACGAAAATTGTTATAATGGGAACAGGCCTTTACATATCGAATCGCCTTCGACATGTTAACATCAAAGTTTGGGTATACAAGGATGATATCAATACGGCTTCGCTGTAGGAAAATGATCAAGATAAACGGCTAATGTATTTGAAAATAAATTGAACGATTTCGCAAGGTCTCTATGACCTGATTTAGCAAGCTCTCCGAAAATTCAGCGCCGTATGAAAAAAAAAATCATTCAGCAAGCAGAAGGGTGCAATTCGTTCCCATAGGTTTGCAAATAGTCTGCTGTTGGATATCCGTGATATTAAGGGCCTACATTTTGAAGCCTGTGAGGCAACTGAGAATGGAAATTGTTTAAGTGATCAAATTAAAAGTCAAAATCTAGACGGGAACGTACAATAGCACATGAGACCAAACATGTCGTTAATTTCTTATATCAGATGATTTTAGAATAATGTCATTTAAAGAGAGTTTATTTTAGTGTTCAGTATGTTCCTCCATTTACACAATTAACGTCTTTTCAATAAAGCGTCTATTCCAAGTGCCGTATAATGGTCTGATTGAAACCCTGGATACATATAGATATTTTTTGTAAATGTGTATTGATTTAGTAATTTATTTACTATTCTACTGCACTCTGCACGACGTATCAGTAGGAAAACACAAAATAACACAAGTGCTGTGCTGTATCAATTATTTCGTCATCATTTATCAAGAGTTCTGCTGATGTATGAGACGTAACAATCTACTATTACATGTACTTGGTAATGTTTGTTTAACTTAATGTATCAGGCTGAAAATGGGTGAAGTCGCCAACATATAAAGCGCCTTTATTTATAAGTAAAAAGGCCAGGGAGTTTGTTTGTCTTCATATTTCTAGAAGGTGTTAGCGTAATGTGAAGGCACACTTTTGTCGATAATTTGATTAGTAGAGTACCCGAATGCTGAATATGTTCGTCCGTGACAGCCAGCCGGGACAATATTCCCTCAATATTAGTTGTTTATACATGAATGTACAAGTCTAGCATACCTGCTGCGTCCTATAAGCTACCGAGTCGGTATTTTGTAATGCATGAAAATTTGTTTTATTAAAATGTTTGGGTGTACGCTATATCACCAAACGAAATCTGATACAATTAACTGACTTTCTGATGACAGGCATTTCTTATGCAACTTGAAACGTTCAGAATTCAGAGTGTATTTAATTTTAGAAGCAAACCAAGTAGAGATGTGATCATGTGTTAGTAATTTCTGATGTTGAGATGCGATCGTAAAGCATTTCAATACTTATAGATGATACTCCATGATACCATGAAAGGTGGACAAGACTAACACTAGTACCGAGTGACATAATTCATTCTCGAAACTTAGTCCCTGTATTAGAGGACAACCTTGTCATCATACATTATATATACCTCATGGTACTAGAGGACGAAACTAAGTCCCTGTATCAGAGGAGAACTTTGTCATCATACATTGTATATACATCATGGTACTAGGGGAAGAAACTAAGTCCCTGTATCAGAGGACAACCTTATTATCGTAAAACATGAAAGAAACGAACAACTGCACAACTGAAGAAACCTTATTATCGTAACACAAAACAAAGTCGCGGTAGGGGAAACTAACTTATGGTACTACTACTGAACAAGTACTTAAATCAATTCCAGCTGCTGTGCTGGTACAATGCTATAAAAACTGCGACAATTGGTTTGTGTCAGTACCATACTAAAGAAGACTCCAAGCCGACAGTCACAGTGTGCTAGTGAGGTTCATCATCCGACTAAGATAGTATTAGTAGTAGTAACAGACAGGCCATAAAATCTGGGATCATTCTTCTGACCAGTCAACTAACCTCTGTATACCTGTTCATTACAAACGTTTACTACACGTCAGTACATACACTGTATCGTGTTATTAAATTGAAAACGGGACACTGCCGAGAATATTTCCTATCACATGTGTTCAAGCTCTGTAGAAATATCGTGTAACGCCGTCTCACACAGACTGCCGGTGCTCTCTATCTGTGTATTGACAGTAGCACACAAACTCTGTGGTATTGTGTATCGAGAAACATGGGTTGCATATACTCCCCCAAAAAGATGCCATAACAAACACGAATCAGACGCCTTCAATCTTGGGATTTTATTCGGATTTTATAGGAAATTTCATATCCAAAGGTAAGTTATATTAACACAATTTCAAACACTACGTCTATGAATGCAGTTGTGGGGTATTTATAACTAGTTAGTAACACGTAGTATATGTATTTATCTATATCTACATACTTTCCACACTGGAGTATACTCCAATGTGCACAATATACTCGCCGAGTTCAGATTTTGGTCCAGATTTTGAAGATATGATTTTGGATTTTATTTCTACAATAGTTCTGCACGAAGCAGAAATTAATGACAAATAGTATGCAGTCATAAGTCATTAGGAAGAGGCAAAATACACGAGAGGTTACATATTCATATATTGCATATAAAGATATATTGTAATGTCCGGTATTATCATAACCTGCATTATACTGAATCAGATCTAAATTATATATATAGTATCTTGCTGATTAAGCAGGATAACAAGCATGCATTATCAAAAGTTTACGTCGTAAATGTTTTTTATATCGTTCTTCAATCGAGTATTGATTATCAAAAAGAGGTAAACAAGGTTTCTAGCTAGTGTTTTCTATGTTAACATCTTTTTCTCATCAAGGATATTTAACTAGATGAACAAAAACATTTGTGTTTTGCATCTATACCTGGCATTTCCTGAAATTCTTTTTTAATTCTAATTGTAATCTCTACCTTTTCGATAAAATGTTCATGAACTTAACATTAAGTTTTTATGATATAACCATTTGTCATCGCATCACTGTTACTATACCATCTAAGAACGTTCCTGTATACATCTATGTATATAAGAGCCTGGAAAATAAGCAGGAGCTGACATTAACATCATTCCTGTTTTCCTATAAACTGAGAATTCTCGTCTTCGTTTGATTTTCACGCTATTTCTCTTAAAACCATTTCCCCGAGAAAGTCAGTCTTAACGTTTTCTCGACAAGAATATATTATATGAAAGACAAGTGGGGTCTCCTCCATGTCCATTAAATTGAAAAAAATATATTCGTTTTTGTATTTATTTCAACTGAAACTCGTATCGTAAATATATAGTGAGGAAAATTGGACATGAAGAGCTAGCATTTTTCCCATAAATTTTCTACGCAAGAACAAATTCTAGAGATAATATCCAATTCAAAGTCTCATTGTGTTATTATTGTAAAACTTAAAACAAGCCCACCCTTGCTAGCTGCCGTATTTGTTACTGTAAACAAAGGTTTGTATTTACAACAAACCATTAAGTTAATATAAGAGTTGCCGAAGCGTGGTAGACTACATGACCAAGCACATATGTTTTCAGTGTTATTGAAAGTTATGTTAAGAGGTCGACAATTCTGTGTAACGATGTATTTCATTTCGGTCCTGAGTTTGTTATGCCGTACAAATTAATATATCTTGACAACAATCAGTAATATAAATCATTACAGGCCAGTGATTACGTAACATAGTTAAGTCACGTGACCGTGTGAAAAAAGAGTAAAACAATCACGTGCCATTCATGTATCATACAGCGTAAAAATATGTGACCTAGATGTGTTGTTTACATACACATTCTCCACTGTCACTATCACGCAAATAATATATAATACAATTTGCAAATATATCACGTGACTTCGATACAATATTTACTTTTAGATCGAAATGCATGTTCTTTACATATGTGATGGCGAGTGACACATATAAACGTGAAAATATAAATAAAACAAGCGACTTTTAGATTTATCTATTCACAAACTGGAAAAAATCCAGTTTTCTGATGAAAGGGTCATTTGGTACTTCCACTGCTTCTTGTTTTGGCAGGGAATTAACGTTGATTGGAACCGATTCAGGAGAGTTCGAATAGATTTGAGACCTCATGATGGATGCTTTCTGTTGACATAGTAACAGTTCGTATTGCGTTTGTCATTGGAATTAACAAGATGTTTGTATTACGTAACGACGTGGAATAGACACACCATAGATGATCTGCTATATACAGGCTCGCGTTTTCAGATTCCTGCTTTAAAACATATCGTTCCATGATTAGATATTTTTCTGGGCATTCTTGCATCCTGTTATATCTTATGCTTTCCCTTTAACACATTATACTAGGAGGTATTAGGAATATCTCTATCAGCGTACGATTTTTCACCAATATTAAAATGTACATGTGCTTTTATATCATTTAAAAGATCCGGAATCTTTTGTGCATCGAATGTCCGAAATAGCTACTCTTGTCATCTCTGTATATTTCATTACAGCTCAAACTTTAAACTTTTTTATTTTGCAACATACTAGATATTAAATGTTGTAGCTCAGATAAAAGGGTCTTATTGTATGAGGAGAAATGACTACCCTGTAAACTCACAAAGTCAGACTGATGTCTCCATATCTTTTCATGTCCGATCGGTGAATCGGACCCCAGTCGCATAAGAAAAAGGCGAGTCCATTGGCACTGCATCATCCTATCGTCCAACTCTGCATATTTTGGTTTATTTTTTATCTTTCTGCCACATAGATAATTTAAAAAAATGTATTAACTATCAACGTTTAAAATCATGTCCGGCAATAAACTAAACGATTAACGTATAAGGGCATCCTAGCAATCCGGCACCCATTGATACCATCCTCAAACAAACCAGCAATTCCTTTTCAAGTTCGGATACCTTCTGAAGCTGAGATCATATTGAAACATATTGATCATGTCGATATTGATTGAAACTGCTAAGTATAAAACAAATCCAACTACCAAGGACAAGAAACGAAACACTTACAATGAAGGTACCAGGAAATTGAAAAAAAGGCATCTGTTAAAATAAGGGCGGCAAATGTTTACCAGTAAATGGTAAATTCTCACATTTGTCACCTTTTCCGGTTCCCGGTACATATTCTGTATAATGCGTTCTATGATATCTTTCTTGGCTGTGTCGTTTGCAAGTGCAACTAATTTACATCTGAAGGAACTTGCACATCCAAGCATTCAAAATAAAAGTTTACACGTTAATGGATACTAACTATACAAATATGTTTTAGACGAAATTTACACATCTGAATGACGTATTACTAACGTACATAATGACACACGCCATGTTAATGAAGTTATGTCACGTTCCCCAATGACAACAGTGTAAATGACGGAGTCACCATGCGTCAGATCTCCTAAGGAAAGAAATACACGTATCTCCATATGAAATCATTATGATGATCATAAAATGTTTCCATTGTCTTCATCTCTTGAAATACGTTTGTCTGTTGGTTTCCTACATATAGCAGGACAATCCTGAAATTGAGTACAAATCCATGACAAATCCTTTATCGAATCAACAGTGATGTGTAACACCATTGGGGATACATGGCCTTTAAGAGAGGTTAAATTCCATAGTTCACATTTTATTGCTCTCCATCTTATAACAAATATTTATACTATCTGGATAATGTTTGTGATTTAGATATATTGCAAGAAGAACAAATCGTTATCAGGTAGGAAAAGACAACTCCCAAACATAAGAAAATCATAAATAAATGCATACATATAAAATTCATTGTACATTGTACATGATTATCACGTGATGTACTTTTCTATGCATAATTATGTCTCACACTCTACAATTATGTACATTGTACATGATTATCACATGATGTACAATTCTATACAAAGTATGTCTCACACTCTACAATTATGTACATTGTACATGTTTATCACATGATGTACAATTCTATACAAAGTATGTCTCACACTCTACAATTATGTACATTGTACATGATTATCACATGATGTACAATTCTATATTACTGTGTAATTCCACAGATTATATGTGTAATCATGAATAAGACATCAAACATGGTAAAGTAAGTCCCAGCTGTCTCGATATTATAACATGAAGCATATTAACTGTACAATATTTCTGCTGTACTAATTTTAGCTGATGATATATACAGATAACCGTTATTTCTATAATAAGTGTTTACACTCATTTACAACGAATCCTGTGAATCAGAAAATTGTGTTCGAGTTAGTTGTCCACTGATATCTTGTTATATTACATGGCTTCATAACGGTACTTTTTTATGTTTACAGTTTGTCCTAGTTTCATCAAATTTGAACCTAATTCAGGATACTGGTGACATATTGTTTTTTTCCAAATATAGAAAGGTGGATCTATTCTTAAATTACGATACTATCAAAATTGTTTGTCTCTGAACGTCAAATAAATGAATTGTTTTTGTTGCGTGATGGCATATTGTAAGGAAACTGCTAATCAATTACGATAAGCAACACATCCTGAAGCGGAATTTTGCTAGATCACTAATGCATGCATTTGGCTTTATCACTTTGTGAACCTCCTTTTTGCAAGCAGATTTAAGGCGTCTAACGTAACGTTTTGAGACTTCCTTACAAAACTAATTTAAATGCCACGAAAATCTTCTCTGAGTTAATGGATCTACCTTATTTGTAATGAGAAGTAATGGACTATTCAAAGAAAGGATTTGAATAAATAAATACGGAAGCAAATGTATCGATGTCATGTTGAATGTTTTATAGATTGGTTGTTTTTTACTCATCAATCTAGGTTGATGATTTCTTTTTTTTTTTTTTTTTTATACAACACGTTACTTATTTATTTTCTCCGTATCATTCTTGCGGTGAAGAAAATGTGTCATTCAGTTCCATTTTATTATAATGTATACTGGAATTTAATATTAAAATAACAGAGATTTGCAAAAGAAAAAAGCCAAACCACCAATATTATACGTAAGTAAATGCGTAGAAAAGTTCTATACAATAAAAAAATCGTCATAATGTTTAGAATGCCTTTTATTCTGTTCAAAATTCAAAATAACAATTCGTTTGTTGTGTTCACTAGAAGCAATTATCATATAGATTTTCAGGATATTTCGCTGCAATACTACTATTTCCCATCTACATTCATGTAACTATATGATAATTCCTTAAAACAAGGTTTAGTGCAGTGATTTATATATCGTCTACAGATCGGATTCTTCTGATTCTATCAAACAACGCAATGTTACCTTTCTGCACTAGCGTTCAGCAGAAATGTGCTCTAGTTTTCATA